TTTATGTGCACTGAAAACTAGAATATTGTGTTGTCATCTAAATTAAATGTGTGTACCAAATTTCAGATCAATCTGACAACGGGAAGGTGCTTTAATTTCAATTTCTAATTTTGAACCAAATAAACAAATAAATTCCGTACGGGTCGAGCTAAATAAAACCGTTTAATAAAAAGCTATATTGTCTCTGTACAGCCAGGATACGCGTCGTTCGAAATTTCGTGACTTAGTAATCTTTTATCAGTACCAAAAACAAAAGGACACAGGAAAAACTTTTATGTATCCAAACAGCTTTTTGTTTCGGTAAAAAAAAAAATTAAGTGAATCTCTTTCGAACCAACTACCGTCGCCGAGGGAGAGCGGTCACCCTATCTGCATGATCGTTGGACGCTACTCGACACATCCGATGCCGAAAAGATATTTAAAAAAAAAAAGACGGCCACATATTTTGGCGGGGAATAAATCACGGTGCCGTAGATGCGGCCATATAATATTTATGGCCGTCCCGAGCGCGGCTGATAGAAAACTACTAAAACAAAAGTGGGAAGGGAAAAAAGGAACGGAACGTAGAAGGTGACACCACGTGACCCGAAGGAGCAGATGCGACAACTTCATTACGGCATATAATTTACACTGCTCCCGTTATTTAAGTAGGAAGCGATATTTTTTTTATCCGCACGTTTGTTGATAATTTATGGACACACCGTTCGGAAAGTTAGGGAGGACTGTCGGACCGCCGCCGATGTCGACGCGACTGTGTAATTATAATTATGTGTACAAATTAAGTTCAGTGCACTGCGAAATAATTACGCCGTCTTAATGCTTCTTAAGTTTGGAGGATTTTTTTCCGAATAACGTGTTATGAAACGCAATGCTGTAGTTTATTGGGAACAGAAAGATTGTTGTTCTTAATGTTCCAAGAGAATTCCGTTAACGAAATGCAGGTAGTTATGAAGGGCAGCCCGTTCGTATTAACTTTGCTACTCTGTGAAATACAAGTATGTAATTTATAAGCCTTACATAATTAGGAACGTGTGGAAGTCGATTAACAGTAATTGGAGATATTAAAATGTTATTCAAATCCGATTATCTTGACTTATCGAGACGTTATATGTCTTTCAACTAAATATCTTATCCTTTAAACGAGCAATTCTTGCATGAAATTTAGTATGTGCGTAGATTCGGGGGCGAAAAATCGATCTAGCTAGGTTTTATTTTTAGAAAATGTCCTTTTATCCCTGTTTTCAGGGAATGAAAAATATCATTCGAATAGGACGGTAAATTTCGCCGCCAAAAAAAAGTTATAATAGCTCGGTTGGTAATCGGGCGGCCCCAAAACAGACGGCCGCGGTTCGTATCACGATCATTTACACACTTATTTCTTTTACTTTTTTTTCTATACCAGATCATTTTCTTCTTTTTTATTTTTTATTTCTAAAATACATGATTTACCAAAAAAAACCAGAGCAAAGCTCGGTCCTCCAGGTACTATTATATATTTTATTCAATGATAAAGAAAGAATTTTTTTTGTTTCCAAATTTTAAAACATTTTACGTTGAAGAACTATATATTTAAACACGATATAAATTTTTTGAGCAACCTGAGTTCGATCCCAGGTCCAGCCACCAATGAAATTGTTAATTTTAAGCGCTAACGCTCAGCGGTGAAGAAAAACATCGAAACCTGCATGTTTTCGAAATAATTTCAAAAAAATATTTATGAATATAAATAGTTTAGAAGATAATATGTGAAGTCCGCTAATCCGCAGTAGGGCCGCGTGGTGGACTTTGCCCTGATACCCACAGTACAGAGGTTTTGCCAAGCAGTGGGACATTTATATGCTGCTACTTTTATAAAATATATAACTTTATAAAATTTTAAGGATAGTAAAAATAGATGTAGGTATACAGGTATTACAAAACTATCCGTAAAGCCGAAAAGAGGTTAAACGGGGCCTTATAACGAGACCATTCACAATATTTAAGAACCGTAGTAACGCTGTATAAAATAAACCAAAAATATAAAAAAGTATTATTATTTTCACTGATGTGCAAACCCTATCAGTAAAATTAAAGAGTAAACTATGCAGAATGTACCTACATTTCTACCTAATTCGCTCGAAACAGTTGTAGGATATCGATTAGAATATTTGAAATTGATAACATATTAATTTTTTTCCAACTTGATATTTTTTAAGACAGTAATTGAGTCTAATGACATCCTTGTGTTGAGGTAACAAACATTTATGAATGAAAAGCAGAAAAACTTTTAAAGTAGATAATTATTAGGTAAAATAGGTACGTAGACCTTTCTGTTAAATAATCTGGATCCATGACATGACAGTTTACTAGGGTTGACAAATTTTTTGCCTTTGATAATTAATTATATTTTTACGGGTTATTTTGTAACACGTGTATATGCCGTATTCGTTGTCCAGTTTTTTTAAGAACTTTCCAATATTTGACATATTATTTTATTACATTTACATACACACATAACTTCTAACATGTTTCCCATTACCAAAGTCTTGCATCGTTCATAACATTAGAAATTCTTTAGAGTGCAATTAAGATAAGTCTCCTTTGAAAAATATAACTTCTAATTTATAAAACTTAATATCATAGGTAAATTGCTACGCACATTACAAATTGTTATATATCATTGAAATATCCGTTCCTAATTCGTAGTTAATATTTTGTCAAATAAAACTCAAACAGCAAAGTCTGAAGGTAAACAAGTCGTTAATAATTTTCGCCTTTTTCTTGTAAATTCATATTTTAAAGTAACTTTATGTTATAATAATTAAACGTAAACTGTAAATTTTAATAAAAACAATTAATGAATTACATAACTTAGTTAATGATCCATTCAGACCTTTGTGGCATTCTAAGTTTGCTAAAAGTCCTTACTTTTTCGTTATTTAATAGTATTAAAATGAACTCGTGAGATCCTGATTTTGGTTAACATTTGTAAACATTACTATTTCCGTTTAGAAGGAACGTCTAGATGAGCGAAAAATATGCGTGCTTTACACGACTTAAACGATAACAAACCTATGTATTGAGCAATTTATATTTTTATTAAGCTAACTTAGTTGCATAGGAATAATAATATTTCTAGAAGTCTCCCATTGTAAACTAATTAAAATTTACTTTAAATAAATCAGCTTTGACTTTGTAGTACTATAAAATAATTTCATTCATTCATTAAAAAAAGCAACATTCTTAGAAGATACACGACACAAAAATAATAAACAGAAAAAGGCCTACGTCGTAATTGCTACTTCGCGGCCTATTTGTAGAGCATGTGTTTTTCCCAACATTTTGTAGCTCCGTGGACACATTTCTGTTATGTTGGTTTATTAAAATACGTTCATCTATTATACACTGATAAAAATGCGATAGAAGACGTCAACTCGACTAGACCGTAGTTGACGATCTAAGTGAATCTGTGGGTGCGGTCGGCACGCCCAAGCCCCCCCCCCCCTTCACCCCTCCTCCTGTCACGCGAGTTATGCGTGTGCGCAGCACTCGGTTGTAGCATACCTACCAATAACTCCTAGCCAATTCAATTCAATGCATCCACTAATCTCTAGGCGAAAACTTTCCTTCAGCTAATCTGCGGGAAATAACTTTGTTTCTGTTTTGGATACGTGTTAATACAGTATGATAAGAAAGCATTCAAAATATAGTTGAACGCCATAGTACTGTTGTTTGTTTTCTTTTTACAAAAAGGTCTTATTTTCCTAAAGTTCATAGCGGTCAAACTTATTTGGCAACCATCAGTATTGGTAAATAAATGTATTGTATAAACTATTTATCAATTATGGAAATATGTGAAAAACAATGCTGCTATCAAAAATGGATTCGGTATAACTTTAATTTTTAAAAGTGTAAAGTCTGATTACAATCAAAAGCTTAAGCCTTACGGTAAAAAATAATATCCTAGATGTTTAAACTAAGTTATACTTTAAACATATTTTATCCTAACGAACTCATATCAACTTTCTAGGAATGTAGGGATGTAAATATAAAAATATATATCAGTAAATTCTCTTTACAGCCAAGCAACGTTAGAAAGCTTCCGAAAGTAGATTACAATAGAAAAGCACTTATGTGTATCTTTTTTAAATAACGTATATAATACAACGATCACACGAAGTGAGATGACCAATTAAATTTTCTTCAATTTTCTTCGGGCAACATATATTTCAATAGGAAACCGCTTAAGTTTATTTCTAACTTTAGAAAATCATTTGGGTCGCTTTAATGCTCCGTTTACACTGCGTCTGTGACGTTCGTGACAGCTGGTGAACATTTTATTCGGGCTGCGCGTTCACGTAACGAAAGTGTTATTGCATCGTATATTTAGATTTATTATATTCACTTCATTTAAGTTGTTACCGAGAATTTTTTTTGCTCTTGGAAAGGCGAATTGTTGTTCAAAGTCGGATACAAAAAAATTTACTAAATGAACACGGTCCCGTGGGGAAACTCTTAATAGGCTAATACGTGACATCTCCGCTACAACGTAAACGTCATCGCGTCCTTATTCACGTGCGTTCTTAGTTGCTTCGTTGACATCGGAATAACCTCTCCGAGATCTGATAGCGAGCTAACTCCTCGCCTTGGTGCTGGAAAAGTTCTTACGAAAGGCTTCGCTTAACGAGAGACTCATAAGAAATTGAAAAAAAAAAAAAAAAAAGCAACAACCAAACGTTGTGAAACTGTTTAAATTCACACTCAAATATTTAAAGAGACTGCACCGGTAAAAGTAGAACACATTTTTTTGTGATATGACTGACGACTGTACCAATTTTGTCTCGTTAAATTTTTCAGACGTTTAGCGCGTGTTGCGAGTCATTTACGAAGGAAAAATGGCTCGGCACGGACAAATGTAATCTAAAATCTAAGTCGAGTACCTCTCAATTAGCCGTTTCGTAACGTATCCTTGACTCGAATATTGTACGCCTGTTATTACGAATTTGTGGTTGCGTGGGCCAATGCGGAGGGCGTCTCACGAAGAGGCGTGGGACTCCGAATGCGCGGTTCGCCTTTCGCCGCCCGCCACGGCGTTCCATTGTAATTGTTATGGCAGTCCGGAGCCGTACTCCCAAAAACCCGACCAGATCCGCGGAAGGGGAGCACGCAAAAACCAGTCGGCAGCCGGGAGGACTGGGCGTAAGGGCGAGCGTCTCCGAGGATACCGGTATCAATCTGCCATAGGTGTATAAACATAACGTTATGGTCCTTTTATTAATCTACTGGAGACCCGCTCCGGCTTCGCACGGGTGCAATGTGTTATACATATAAACCTTCCAATTGAATCACTGTAACTAGTAAAAAAAACCGCATCAAGATCGACCGATTGCGTAGTTTTAAAGATCTAAGCATACATAGGGACAGACGGACAGCGGGACGACTTTGTTTTATACTATGTGGTGATAGTGATAATGTTGTTACTGTGTGTGTTTATAATATGGCTTGTTTCAACAAATAATTGATAAATTTGTGGCAGCATCAGTACTACATAATTTGAACGAGCCAAATGTGCAAATTTTCATTATTCCAAATGGTTGACAACTGAGCCACTGTCCATGGACGCTCAGTACACGAGGGACGTTTCAGATGTATTGTCAAACACTGAAACAGCCTTAGAGCCATGCTTGGCCATGCTGGCCTAAGCGCGGTATAAACTGTAATGTAAGACTTTGTTATTCAAAACATATAAAGCAAAATATACAGGACTCTATCCATTTACGTTTAGCCTTAAACCGATCTGTATTAATTCAGAAGCTAATTATCCAAACATCTTAATGACGCCTGTGCTATAAGGCATTTGTACTGCCTTGTGGCAGAGGCATCAATTAGCGACTAATTAGCATTAAATTCATTTTAATGCAATGACCTATTAATTAGTCTTAGACTAAACATCATGAATGTAATATCTTAATACTAGTTAGGTGCTTATTGAAAGCTCATCTCGTTTTGAATTTAAAACCAAGTGATCTGTTTTGAGCATTCACTTTCCCAGTATCATTAGAGAAGGAATGTGGCCTACCACGCGTCAAGCAATAAATTAAAAAAAAACCCACCCTCATCCGGTAACAGATTTATGACGTTATATAAACTGGGAATCATACTTCATATTTCAGCTTCATATTACATGGGGGACGCGCCCCATTTGAAGATTAAACCAATGGGTTCAATACAATACAAGAGAAGTATCTCATAGTTCAAAATTCTTAGATGTCGCTACAAATATTATGTAAGTAGCTACTTCATTTAACTTAACTTTATTATTAACATAAAATGTGAAAATATAGAATTGTAAAGTCCGAAATATATATGGTTAATCCAAAGTTAGTATTCAATTAATCCTTACCGATATTATAAATGCGAAAGTTTGTATGTATGGATGAATGTTTGTTACTCTTTCACACAAAAACTACTGAATAGATATTAATGAAACTTTAATATAGCTTATGCATCAAATTAACACATACACTATAATATATAAAAATATTGTATGAATTGTACAAAATATAGGTAATGATAAGTATCAACTAAATAGTGTATAATGAAAAGCTCATGGTTAATTCCCTTTTGCGGCACGGGTGAAGCCGCGGATAACAGAAAGTTAAGAAAATAAAAGTAAAGTATCAGCCTATACATGTCCCACTGCTGGGCAAAGGCCTCCAATGTACAGAGAGTATCAGGGCATAGTCCACAATGCGGTTCCACTGCAGATTGGCGGATTTCATTCACATATCTTCGAAATATTTTTTTATTATTATTACGAATATATGCAGGTTTCCTCAGGTTGCTCGAGTACATTGAATTAAAGGCGAGTCCCCGAACACTGAGCTATCATGGCTCTTTAAAAAAATATGCATATCTATTTGCGAAATAACCAACTGCAACTTAATTTAATGCCCACCTTCAAATTTCATTTAGTTAAACAAAGCAAATTCATACATTTTGTAAATAAGAATTTGCTTTTGCTTGATTCAATGTTTAGTACGTTAATTATACTTGTAAACAAATAATTAATGCCCGTCTAATTTAGTTATATAATCTAGCTATAATCGCCACAAATCTGTTATACATTATTTGGGTTTGCTTTGATCAAGTTATATTTCGGAGATTATTCGAGGTAAATGAGAACTCCTATAGAGGCCGTGTTGAATCGAAACACAAGTGTAATGCCTCACTACCACGCGATAAGTTTATATACCTATATGAGTACCTACCCACGAAATCACTTTAAGATTAAATGTCGGAAACTAAAAAAAATAACAGATATTTAGATTTAAAAAATTGCTGTCAGGTCTTTTCAAAAGTCGTGTGGCATTAAAGTCATCTTAAAGGGGGAATGAGGGGGTGAAGGTCAGGGGGAGAGATTGTAAGAGGGGAGGCCGTCTCATTTGGTCTCATTAGGCCTTAAATTAAAGCGTCGGATCTAAGATAACGGCTGAATCTTAGCTTGTAAGGCGTCCGCTTTTCGTTTAGGCTAAATATAAAGATAAACTTAGTTCAAAATTTAAAAATATTTTGTTACCATTCACTGAACTTTTAACTTGACCCTATATGAGACGTTCCGTTTCAATAAAGCACAATGCGGAACTTCCCACGGCTCCTACACAATACTTATTTACCGGAAATTCGAAATAAATAGTAAACGTCCAGTTGGAATGGTTTGCGGGAATAGTTCAATAAACGGGTGTGTCATCAAACTGAAAACTGAGAACTTCAGATAAATAAGTTTGACACGAAAGCTCCCAGTTCGTATCGTAAGGATGGTAAACTTGCGAATGATTCACGCGGCTGACGCTTCGCGGGCGCATAATTTTTACGATACCCAGCGATAGACGCGGCGGTATTTATTAAAACTTTGGACACACGGCTACTAAGGATGGAAGGCTTTACAGCTGATATAAAATATTACCGTTAGACAATCTTTTATAGTTATATATAGTTGTTATGTGAAAACTAAATACAAAATTTTCTACGACGTCGTTACTGTTGTTTAATAAGATTTTTTTTGTACATTACATCTTATTTTTTCATTGAAAACTGTGCGTAAAATCAATTTTAGAAAATTTTTAAACTATGTACATAAGGTATAGGTTCTATAACAGTAAATAAATTATAATAATTTGATTATATTCGTGAGTTTTGTATACATTGTACACGTGTTAATTCATTTTCTAATGCTATTTCGGCGTTGTGAATTTAAAATTACAATCCCACGAAATTACAGCGCTCGTCGTTGGGGAAATCAATGAGTCCCGCTCTTCGGCGGTGGTGAAGCGCCGGTCTCAACATCGGTTCATTGAAATGTGGCGGGTATGATGAACTTTGGATTACGTCCGACACGCGAACGGATCGGCGTACACGTGAGAAACCTGTTCGCTCTATTTTAGATCGTTCCAGGTTCGATTCCGACCACGTAGTGTATGTAACGCGTAATGGTTTACTAACGAGTTTACTGTGACGCCATTCCACAATAGACGCGGCGTGATAATTGATAAATGATGCGAAATCAATCGATTGTGAAATGTATTCTTTACTGGTCTGTGAAGTTTTTCAGCCATTTGTAGAGTCAGTCTCAATTAGCACGCATAATTGGTACAAGAAATGTTTAATGAGAGCAAAAAGATTAAACGCTATCCGCACGATCAATCTTTATCGATCGTTGGTTATATTACAAATAGTATAGGTATTTCTTTAAGAAACTTTATGATTTCGTTCGACAATCGATACATGTTCAAATATCGAACGTAATACGGAATTCTCGAAGGTACGTCGCGCGTGGAGTCGCTCGGACGAATGCTGCCGCCCAGATAAACGGACTGGTTTCGATATCTCGAAAAAAAATTCTTTTTTTTTCTTTGCTCCATGCATAAAACGCACATACGGGAAGTCGACGTTGATAATCTCGCGTGGTAAGTGCGGTTTTGACTTTAATGTGTTAATAAAAATGTAACCGTTTTGTCGGCGAAACGTGGCCGAGGTTTGTTTCGATATTGATCCCGCGCCACGGCTTAGCGGCAGGGTCGAGTTGCAGCCGTGCATTGACCGACTCTAAAGCCGATCGCCTCGACTACACTATTGCGGTATTTTACATCAATGCTTGATCCGTATAGTGTTTTGCGACGCATTCGAGCGTTTCACTACGGGCATATATATAGGTTTCATCGAAGGAACAATTTCGCGCAGGCGCAAAATTTCCAAATCACTTCGACTCACCGAGGTTAGCCGTCATGATGTCTTGGTCTTTCGGCTTCTTTTTCCGCGGCCGCCCTTTCTGCCTTGGCGGTGGTGCGGCTGCGCCATTGAAGAAGGGCCCCTTTGGTAGGTCAGGCTCCACGGGCGCAAACTCTGGTGATGGATAAGGGGGGTAGTGCTGACCCGGCGGCGGCCCGCCGAAAGATCCCGGACACATTTGCGGCGGCCCAGGAACTGCCATGTGAGCGCCATAGTCCGGTATCTCGTAATGCAGCCTAAAAAAATCAGATCCTGACAAACTTCACGGCCAATGGCGCGAGCACTGTATGCGTGGATGAAATATTCGTATGTTCGCTAGTTTCGCGCGTTTAATACTAGTTCTAATTAGTTTGGCTAAATACAGTCATTTAAGTCAAACAAATTGATTCGCAATTTAGGACTGACTTTTCTATATGTACTTAAATTAAGACTCACCTGCAGTAGACAGCGGAGTCTCTAATGCCGAACGTATCGCCCTTGGTTAGGGGCGTGCTGCAGAGAGCACAAGAGAAGCAGTGCACGTGAAACACCAAGTCTCGGGCTCTCATCACCAGCTCGGAGGCGGAAATCATAGTGTTGCAGCGTGCGCAGCGCCTCGAACCGTATAACCTAAAACAATTGAAGACAGGTGGTAATATTCTTAGCATATGAGGAGGAAATGAAGAAAGTGGAAGTACGTGCTCAGTGGCGTGCCCTTGGGGAGGACTATTTCCAGCAGTGGACTGCATAAGGCTGATTGGATTGGATTGGATTGCATTGGAGGAGGTCAAGCACACGATTCACTAGATAATAAGTGATCACCATATATATTTATAACACCTCAGAGGCTTCAGGTGCTGCAAAAACATTTGAAACAGTTGTCGGATACCTAACTCAACAGAGGAAATGCAAAAGTGTCAACGTACGTAACTGGATAAAAATAAACATAAAAATATAGCGTTTAAGGCTAATCAAAATTAAATTGCTTGAAAATAGAAATTAAATTGGGAGATACAGGAATAGAAAATAATTTCCATTTCAATCCTATTCTAATTAAATAAAAGACACCAATGAATGAACGTCCGACGTTAATTCCCACTGCGGTATCCATTTAGGTAGGTATTTCTATTTTTCTCCCGTTCTCAAAACGAAATAAGGCCGGAGGCTAACATTTCATAACATTACAAACCTGAGCGTAAAACGAGACCAAACAAACGAATCAGGTTATTTTTTCAATGTCAATGACCAATTCGTACCTAACGAAACCGTAGCAAGTTGTCAAGTGTCATACATTAATATTTATGGCCGGTTATGTGGGCCGCTTGTTTCGCGCATATTTACCGCTCATTAGAGCAAGTAGCGCTTACAAATTATATCAATTCGAAAGTACTGCTCGAATTTTACCTTAATTCGGAATAAATTTATCAAGCCGCATGCTCAATATCTGAGTTAAGTACGCGCAGTAATTAATCGGTTGAATTGCAATCGAGCGACGACTGAAATTATTTGCATATTTAAAACTTATTTAAACCTACAATGATGCGCTACAAAATAATTCAGTTGTGCCTATTAAAATTGTAAAACAATGCTACAAGATAAATGAAAAGTAAGAATAAAAAGTAAGAAAGAGTAAAAGATAAAAAAATATAAAGTTAAGAGCAGTAACAGATCAGTTTCCGAATGCAAGGTTTGTATTCTATGTATTCCAACAACCTGTTTTATTGTCGTAGGGCGACGCAACAGTTTCTGCTGTTGCACGAATGGGCAGGCGCGTTCGAGGAATTACCACGACCTCACAGAAAACCGGCGTGAGTTGGAAATATAAAGCTTTTGCCTTTCACCTGGTGAGTGAAGTTTACCAAAGCCCACTTTTTTAAAGGTTCTCAACGCATCTGCAAACCGTCGGATGTGTTAGGTGTCAACGAACGGTTGTATTCACTTAACATCAGATGAATCACTCGCTTACTTTCACACAACAAAAACTCTAGTTACCAGTACCGGCACCAGAAAAATGAATAATGGCAATTTCAGTGTCTTCTAGCACTAATCTCCATTCCATCCATCTGAAAACTCATCGCGAACAATCGAGCATATCTAAGTAACGATACATGTCTTGTATTCTTGTATTAACTGATGTTTGTGCTTTCAGTCCCGAGACTATTAAAGCTTCATCTGACGCAGAACCGGTGGGCTAGCCAGAACCCACGGGTTTGGGCCCTCCGCTGTGGGTAGGGCCACGCATGTGCTCATGCGTACGTTTAAGTGTGGTATGTCATCTAAGGGCCATCGAGGTCGCGGTTCGGACCGAAACCGCGATGGCCGTCGACTGTGCAATTAGCTACGATACATGTGCACTGGTATAGAGCGCGGACTATGGTCAATTGCAAAAGATGCCCGGTTGTTGGACATAATTACTTTCCTGGCATGACTTGTAAGGTCTTGAAAACTTTAACCATAGTTTTCTAATTTAACACCCTATACAGTTATATCGGCAGCACTGTTGTGTCAACCCTGTCCACTGGCTGAGGTAACTAAGTTGCAGGTCATCCGATTACTCATTTTCCGTATCCAGTGTAAAAACATATCTATAATACTCGGGGAATGGATACAGCGACCATAGCTGATTATGATATTTTAAAGCCGAATGTCGCCCGTAACAAACCTGCATTAATAAACGCATACAAAATATGTATAAGTTAATCTACAAAATTGACAATTTGGAAACTAAATTCTGTAGGTACCCAAGATACAATTAAACATTTCTCAACATTGATCGATTATTCTAGGCACGATAGGCTAGAATTATTATTGTTGGCTATCGAAGGCAATTAAAAGGAAGTCTCTGTATCGTCAAATATAGTTTCTGTAAAATCTGGAAAGTTTTGGTCCATATAAGTGATTATATTTATAATTTCCATCTTGCTAAACAAGGACCAAAAGGAACAGGACACTCGATTAAATTTTTAATTATAGAGTTAATACATGTCTACTACTCGTAGTGGTGTATCAAAATCTCTGGTGTCCAATTTATTAGAAAAGTCTTTTTTATGTGAGCGTATTTGTGGACCTAAAACGATTCAGGTTAAATAATTAAAACCGGTAAAGGGTCGAGATGGAAGATAGCGAGTTTGACTCCCGAATGAGACGTCCCGGTGTGGTCCCGGTTCCACGACTTCCCCGTATCGCGATCGAACCTCGGAAAGTTATTTTCTAAAACACCAACCGAACCCACCTTAGTTATTTCTGTCCCCTTCCGTGCCTAAAATTTACAGACACAACGTCCGACGTACCGCATCGTTTAGACTAAGCGAAGTACAAATAAATCGATTATTCCAAATGAGGTACTGATTCATCGCCAGTGTAAGCATGTTTTAACATTTCAAATAATACACCTACGCTTTTGGTAAAAATTAAAAAAATAAAACCTTAAACACTCGAAGCGTGTAACGACTAGCCACCAACTGCACGGGTTTTCTCAATGAGGGAACTATTCTCAAATAATTGACAGCTGACATTTTACAAAATCTTAAAAGGTGGGAATAATATAATTATTAAAACAAAAGAAATAAATGACAACGAGAATATCGACGCCTCGTCACGTAAGAGTGTGATCCAACTTTACTGCAATATCAAGGTGTTTGTAACGTCAAAACAACGTGAAGAAGTTACTTATAACATGTCACGACTTATATACGTAGGTACCTCGTGTGTACATACTTTGTGCACACGTACAATAACAATGGTTAATGCATTAACCGGTGGCGCTGTATCTCGGCCCAGGGTATATAAATATGGAATCGATTTAAATATTTTAAGCACGACAACAACTAGACCCTTAATACATAGCAGTAAAGAACGACTGCCCCCAATTATAGGGCAGTTTTAAAAACAAAATGGACTTATTATGTAAATCATATACAGGCTATTCTTCTCTTGTTGGCAACTCCAGAACCTTGTAGTTTCAGAGGCTGTTAAGCTATATATATATATATATATATATATATATATATATATATATATATATATATATATATATATATTTATATATATATATATATATATATATATTTATATATATAGGGTTGATATTAAAGCTGTTTGCATGACATTATTCGTTCTTTATTAAATTATAAGGTGTGTGTTTATTTTTCTGAGCCAGCACCTGTCGAGTTGTTTTTTGTTACTGATATCGGGTCCAATTTCATAAAGGGCGATTGCTACGTTAGTTCGTCCATATTTCTCGAAATTTATGTACTGTGTTAATTAGCATAGCGATGTTGCTCCGACTAGGCATTTCCCCGGCGGCCCCTCTCTCCTGACCCGTGGCACGTAAGGTTAAAATGAAGCCATCGCATCGCAGTGGTGGACCAATCGTGGGCGCTGGTCACGAATCGTGATGCTATCGGCGGCCACACAGTCTGGACTGACTCATTGAGCGACCTAGGTATTCCAGTTTCACGTACCGAACTGTACGACGCACCGCAAATAGTGTGGTCCTAGAAAAAAATATCTCGCAGGCTAATAGAAATGATTGTCGGGTAGAAATAAACATCGCCAGTTTCCCGCGCGATGTAAGGGGATCGAAGTAGAAGGAAATACTCGGTATAAATCTGGTATGTACGAGGCCAGATAAATGGCACTAAAAAAAGACTCACGTCACCGTTCAATTTATTATTATACCGGGTGAAGGCGAGCCGAAGAAAAAAACACGAATACTTAAGTTCACGGCGACAATTGCAGTACCTAACCGCGATAAGAAAGAAAACACGGAGCGGCTCGAACGCAGAATTATTTATTCACAGATTAAATTCGTCAATAAGCTTCTTGTTTATTCATTCAATGGATAAATTACATTATCCGCTCTACGTTCATAAAAAACCTGATGTACTAAATAATAATATAGCGGGCATTCGTATTGAATTATAATTTCGTGTAAAGTTTATAGTTTTCGAGTAATTATTTACTCGTTCGTTTTATAAATACAATTTTACATTTCAGATTTTGATTTACGTAAGATTCAATTTAGAAGCGACAACTCGGGTTCGGTGATTTTTGTATGGGTACAAACATGAACTTTAAGAATGGCGTGTTGCCAGTCGTCGATGCTTATTGTTTCTTCAGTTACCACATACCTATATTACGGCTATTCTAAATTATTTTAGGATAAAATTAAAATATTCCTGGTATGAACAATCTATGTACTGTTTAATGAATAATGCCAGTAATGGATATAGATACTATATTCATTAACACAAATCAAAAAAGTGAAAATATTGTAGAAGAAATTTAAATTGTTGACACGAAAATTTTTGTTGTAAACTAATTCAATTTTACATAAATATTATAAATGTTACATCTTTCTCTATTTATTGTTTTTTTTTACATTAATGTAACATCAGGAATTCCAAAAATGAATCACGACTGAGGGAATGAGTTACATCAAAATTATAATCGATGAATAGGTTCATCGATTAAACATATGTGACATATGTTTAATCGATGAACCTATTCATCAAAAAAATAAAAAAATGAGTTCTAAAATTCCTTGATTCATGATATTGATAATATTTAACTTTATAAATTTAGACTTTGTAAATGTCTTAACATCTAAAAACCACCTCGTTTAGTGA